ATCCACGGTTTCCCACTGTAATTCCTCTTGTTTTTATATTGCTTACGAGGACAGTTCCTGTCATATACTTTCTTGAATATATTTAAAAATTGCTCATATGCTTTATCTAAGTCTCTGTAAACTGATTCCCAGTTTTGCCCCATAAAATCCTCTTTTAGCCTCATTACAGCCTGTTCATTCGTCACCCTCCTACAGAAAATATTTGTTTTTGGCCTCTCTTTTCTATACTGGCCCTCATAAACCACAAATACTGGTAGATGATCACTAATATCATTTATAAGTAATCCACTTGTCATTTTGCTGTCAATAACATTGGTAAATATATTATATTATCTATTAGTGTTGCATGCTGGGTTGTTACTCTACTTGGTTTTGTAATTTTTGGGTATAAACTGCATCTATATATTGTGTTAATAAACTCCTCAGTTCCTGTGTGCTTGTTAGGATTTAACAAATCTATATTGAAGTTACCACATATGAACATTAATTTATGACTTATTGTCAAGTAATTTTCTTCCATCCAGTAATTAAATTTTTCTATGCTGGCTCCAGGTGCTCTATAAAGGAAACATCATAGTGAATGTGTTCATGTGTCTGTTGTTTTTTTTTTGTAGTGATCAGAGTGCAGAGAGATGACAGAAGAGGAGAAGGAGAGGAAGACTAAAGCTCAGAGAGCGGATAAGGAAGAGGAGGAGGGTTCAGCTGCAGTCAGACAAGAGGATGATGGTGATAAAGGCCAGAAATACAAAAATGGAGGTGATGATGAAGATGGTGATGAAGACACTGCTGGGATGAAGAAGAAGACCAAACAAAAAGTTGTTGGAGTGAGTTCCTGTCCAGAGAGGAAGTGTGTTCCAGGTATCCTCTACCTGGGTCATATTCCTCCAAGGCTCCGCCCCAAACACTTGAGGAACCTGCTGTCAGTGTACGGAGAGATTGGACGCATATTTTTACAACCTGAAGGTATTTTCTATAGAGCATACGCATACACTACCAGTCCAAAGTTTTCGGACAACTTCATGCTTTCAGTAGGTATCAGTCTGACCCAACAGTTGCACACATCCTCTCTACAATAGACAAACACTGCTGGGACAGGCAGCACTGCTGCAGATGTTCCCACAGATGTGTTGAAAACAGCCACTGTTCCTCTGATATCAGATGTTCAGGTTTTTTCTGTTATCTGATCGCTTATGTATTGCTCTGTCAGATGGTCAAGTGAGGAGAAGGAAGAGGAAGACTGGTTTGAGGAGGTGTGATTTTACTGAAGGATGGGTGGAGTTCAGAGATAAACGAGTGGCAAAGAAAGTGGCGGCTTCTTTGCACAACACACCGATGGGAACCAGGAAACGCCAGCGATTCTCCTCTGATCTCTGGTGCATCAAGGTACATTCTGCCTGGCAACATGTGACATCACAGCCGACAACACAGGGCATCATTCAAAGTTGTTTTATTTCACAAGTTCAAAGGTCAGGTGAAGGACGGTCCATGTAACACTTGTCAGTTAAATTTTCTATCTAAGAAGTGACAAATAGAAAACAGAATTTGGTTTTCTAAAATTTTATTTTTCAGTTTTTTCAGACCAGTATAAAATTAAGATTTTGAAATTGATTTTTGAATTTTCTATCCATGAAATGTACAATATAAAAACACAAAATATAACATTTAAAAATTGGATAGTTTTCATTTATGTTCTTTTTGGTTCACCCGAGAGGGTGGGATCTAAGCACCGGCTCACTGCGTTTGATTGGTCTGCGGTGCAGCTCAAACTGTCTGATTGTCTGTTCAAAATTCACATCCTGTCTGCAGGCTGTCATGGTGGTGTACAGTGATCAGGGTTTTTTCTATTAAGTGTGCAACGGGCATTGCTTCCAGCTAGCCAAAAAATGTGTGTGTGCTCATGTAATTAGTAACTACAGAGATGTGTATGGTACATTTCATGCACTGGCTAGCCACAGTGTTTGTATAACATTACCTAATAAAATACTTAGAGATGCAGCTGCTGGCATGAGAATAAAATAGAAACAGACTGATGCCTGATAAGAGGATTAGTTGATGGTCTATTAGCCTGGAGTTCACTGTATTAATCAAATCATTTCCACAACTCTGCTTCTTTCCCATAGGTCAAAGGTTGAAGTGTTTATTTGTCATATGCACAGTTAGGAAACATGTTTCCCTGTACAATGACATTCTTACTTTGCCGTCCCCATGAATGCCACAAAATACAAATGAAATATAAAGTAGACGAAAAAGTAACACAAAATCTAAGGCACTTTAAGCAGCAAATGCAGAGATATAAAAAAAAAATATAAGAATAGACTTGAACATGTTATTGGGATTAAAGGAGCCACTCTAAGTTGGTTCAAATCTTACTTATCAGAAAGATTCCAATTTGTTCATGTTAATGATGAATCTTCTGTGGAGACTGAAGTTAGCCATGGCGTTCTGCAGGGCTCTGTGTTAGGTCCAATTCTCCTCACTTTATACATGCTCCCTTTAGGCAATATTTTCCATTATAGGACCAAAATGTGTCATTAGTAATGCTTGTCACAGGTTCTGCGTTTGTTTCCACTACAGTGCGCCCGCTTTGAAGGTGCATTATGGGAGCTAAGAAAGGCCAAGTTCCAAATCAGAAAGCTCAGTGGGGGTCAGTTCAGAATTGCTTTAGTGGACATCAGACGATTTCTTTCTTTCCCCTGGGGCCTGGTCCATGGCTGAGTTGATCTTTTCCCTTTGTCCCACCATGTGTGTTTTGATTTGAAAATTTGCTGGTCTGGGTTTTTAGGGGTAGAAACTGGCTCATGTCCAGAACAGGAGCATCATCAGACTGGTGTGGGGAGATATAACGAGCCTTTTTTCTTGTTCTAAATTGCAGAGAGAAGTCTTTACCTTGGGTTTGAGTCCTTAAGCCATACTTTTTGATGACTGCGTGTTGTATATTGTGGATATGTAGCTGGAGGCCTTGAAGCTAGGCTGTGACTAGGTTTGAGCAAAGGATAAATATTTATATAGTCTCTATTGTTATGCATAGTAATTTCCATCGGTGCAAATGAGCACTTGTTGAGAACACTGTTCTGTGCAGTGTTAAAAGTCGGATCATCCTTACTGAATCAAGGTGGTTTCGAAATGTTCAGGCCCCGTGGAATCACCTTATTCCTGATGTACTCAGGTGATTGCATGCCATTTATTACACAGCATTTTTTTGGTGTGAAAAATTAAATCATTTCAAAAGGTCCACAGTTTTATAGTTGACATGCTCAAAGAGTAATGACAGTAGTGGTCCTTAAAACCTCTGTAGGATTGAAGCCACAGAAGGACGATGCTCCTTGGATATCGTCATCACTGGAAATGAGAGACTGAATAATGTTGCTATGATATTGCTCTCCCATGGCGAGTTCTTCTGAGAGTAGTAGGATCCAGATCTAGATACAGACTGGCCCAACTTCACCCACTGCTGGACTTACCTGTCTGTTTGTAGTATCTGCACAGGTTCCTGTGGACCCACCTGAGTGAGCGGCTGGCCTATGAGCAGACAGTTCTGCAGCAGAGACTCAGGACTGAAGTTTCTCAGGCAAAGAGAGAGAGTAACTTTTATCTGAACAATGTAGACAAGAGCGCTCACCTGGAAAACCTGAGGCGGAAAAGAGAAAGAGCCGGACAACAGGTAAACTCAAAAATACACACTTCTGTCTGCAGCTTCAATGCAAGTATAGTAATGCTAAAAACAACACCTTTACATAAAGCACAGGTGGAGACAGCAGTGTGCGCTGTAAAACATTATTTGTTGTTGTCAGGTGAATGATAAGATGTGGGACTTCACTCAGCATCAGACAGAGGAGGAGATCCAGATGAAGAAGAAGAAGAAGCACCTGGACAAGGCCTGCCTCATTCACCACAAGAGTCAATCAAACGTCTCCCTGCTGGCCAAGATTTTCAACTCCAACCAGTGAGAATGAGGGCAGAGAAACAGCTGAGTGGCTGTTGGACAGGTCAGCTTCCACAGAAGCAGTATGTGAATTGTGATGAACTGATGCTGACACACCCACCATCACCGACAAATATGGCCGTTGGCGCCTACAGAGCAGCTGCTGGTCAGATTAATTGATTGACTGAGTGATTCTTCTGATTAGAGCAAAGTATTGTTTGAATTGTTGAGAAAAAATTGTTTTTCTCCCACGTATCAAACTCATTAATATTTTCAGAATTTTGTACCTATCGCCTCAATGTGCTTCTGAAGTCTTTTTTTCCTATCTGTTTAAGTTAATTAATTCTGCTTAATTCTGGCACAAAAGACTGGTTACGTTAAGCGCACAAGTCCTAACGAGCTTGTTAATACTTCTGTTTCTGCCTGAATGAGCGCCTTGGAACTGTGTGATGTTTCAGGACGTGTTTTCAGTTTAAATGTTGTCTTTTTGTGAATGTTTGAAACATGCTGTAATAAAAATCATGTAACTGTTTTTTTTTACCTTTCCAACGCTCTTTTAAGTTAAAACGAAAAAGGTTTTAATGACATGATTAGATAATGTTCACACTGTGCAGTGCTGTACACCACACTCTGGAGAGTGAGGGAGGATCCCTGCTGCTCCCTCAAATCATCTGTTACGCGTATGATCCTGGCCTCCTTTGTTCTCATCTCTCTTTCTGCTAATACAAATCCATGCCTGCACATTCTCAAATGCTGAGTTGGAAACTGACTAGTACTAGAAATGTGGTTTATGCACTGTCAAATGTTTTGGTGGGGATGTAGCCTATTTCCATTGGCAACCTGAAAACATAATGCATCCGGTCGCAGCTATACCTGATGCTGAGAAAACTTAGAAGAAAGCATCTGGACGTAATTTTAGGTAAAAGACGTTTTGCCTCTCATTCAGGAGGCTTCACTGGTTCTGTCTGATTGGTGGTGAGCAGGAAGTATTTATCCACCTGGGTGGTGTTTCAGTCCCTTGACGGCCAACAATGTGCCCTAACAACTGAGTTGTTACAGTAATTTAAATAGACTGTATTTATTCAGCTGTAAGCTGAGGGGGACAAAATGCTGCTGGCAGCAGGAGATGAAATCAAACAGATCAAACACAAATGTATTTAGATCTTTATGTGTAGGATCTAACCTCATAGTGTGACCCAGCATTAATAGTTTAGGTGATTTTCAGTTGGGGTAAGGTTAAAGATCCACTTTGCCTTTGGACAAAATAAATATTAGACTTACACTGATGCCAAGCTTTGTCTTCTCAAAATAAAGATTAGTGGGATCATATCTAAAAACTTGATGAATTATTTCTTGGGTCAGCTGCGCATCTTTCTACTCTGAAGTTAATTTAGGGTTATTGCTTCAGTATGAGAAAAGAATTCTGGAAATCATTTTCCAATACATCTTTTATCATAAATCTTGTGGTCTGAACTAATGGAAATTCATGAGTGTGTGCGTGTTTGTGTTTTTCGGGGTGACGTCACTGACGGTGCGGTGGGTGGTTCCGTGATACGCACCGGAGGAGCGGAGCTGCAACATGGCTGCAGATTACTGGGAGTCAGAAAAACTCGACAGTCTGTCAGACTGAACCGAGACATAAATAACTCGGGACAGACCGGGGCAAACCCTGCCGGTGAGTATCACTTACGGCCGACCGTCATGCGTGACCGGGAAGCCGTTTCATGACAGACTGACGGAGTCGTTAACGGAGCGGCAGCTTCAGACATTAACGCACTTCCTCTGCTATTTATAACAGATTCATGCTGATTGAACATGTACTGCAGCAAATAGACGGGTCCCGTCCTCATACACTCCTATAGAAGCATGAAATAGAAAATAGACACTCCACAGAGAAACCCTCCAGAACATAGACCGTAAACTGACAGGAGACTGTCACTAGCCGTTAGCTAGCCGCTAGCCGTTAACCAGAAAACTCAAGTATCTTTAATTATTCATGTTGAGTGGACCTATGTCACAACACCCGGAAGTGACGTAATACACCGGTCCTATGACAGCGCGTTAGCCACTTTTGAGTGGATAAAGTTTGTTAGCAAAAAGTTTAGGTTGTTTACTAGGATGCTTTCATTGTGTTTATTTTAATCTCTAATCAGTGGAAAACCTTAACTAAGATCGAAATGCAATGAGACTATTAATTATAAGATTATTTATATGTCTGTTTACACTGCTTTTTCTGCATTGTTTGCACTGTTTGTTGATGTTAATACTGCTATTTTGTTATATTACACAGCCTTATGCTGGTTTACTGTTTTGCACATTGAGAGCCGATGTACCAGAGTCAAATTCCTCGTGTGTCTGTCACACCTGGCCAATAAAGCTGATTCTGATTCTGGTGAGATTAATCTTTATTAGTCCCACAACAGAGAAATTAACAAAGCTATAGCAGCAAGGTGATAAAAACAATGCACTCAGTAATAAAGTAATAGACAGGCTATTATCAATATAAACAATATAAATATAATAAAAAGTAAATCAATATTGCACACTGGTATTAATGAATTTTTACAGTTTGTAGGTGTGTGAGTAACTGCGGGGGGAGGGGGTCCTACCGGCAGCAGTGCTGGCTGGACAGTGTTGCAGTTTGACAGCAGCTGGAAGGACGGACCTGCGATAACGCTCTGTCATGCACATGAAGCAGTCTGTCACTGACGGAGCTGCCCAGTGCAGTTGCTGTGTTAGTTCTGCATCTTCACTAACGTCCAGCTGCCCATCTGTGACCTCAGAGTTCAGTTCGTATCATAGCTTTATTAACAACAAACAAAAATGGATTTTTGCTATCAGAACTCACTCTACACCCTCCGGTATGGTGCAGCTGTCCAGTTCTCATATTTGATTTGAACCTTGCTTGACCTGGCAGTTGTTGTTCCAGTCTGGCATCTTGAGAGAATCAGTTGGTGACTGGGCATTTCAGATGAAGGCTCAGAGGAGAGGTGTCTCGTGTCTGTATAAAGTGTGCCCTCCAGTCATCTCTCCGTGCATGTTCTCCTTCCCACATTTTTTCTCACATCTTATGTGGGTGGATGCAGTTAAGGGAGTTGGGATTTATCCTTAGTGATGACTTTATGTGAAAATATTATTGTGGTATTCTAGCCTTGATTTCCTCCCTTTATATGTCCAGGTGTGGTCTCCAGGCTGGCTGCTCCACCCCCCTCAGCATCACGCCCTCCCCTGCCCCCCCGACCCCCCCTCATGGAGAGGATGAGGAAGATTAAACGGCAGTTGTCTCTCACTCTAGGGAGGGGAGGGGCTGGGGAAGGGGACAGGACGTTGAGTGACACCATCAGTCAGGAAGTGACATCACACAGTGACTCAGGTAAGACACATGCGCACACACAGTCATTCTGGCAGTTGTCACTTACAGGGTCTGTACCTAGACTTACATTCATTTCCAGGAGACCTACCCTTAACGAGAACTGCTACTTGCCTAACGTTTAACCCTTTCCCTCAACCTTAACCAAAGCCGACACTTACTCTAACCTTAGACCCCGTCATTTTCATAAAATTCAACCAATTAGTTGCGGGGCCCAGCCTCCAGTCCCCACAAAGCAGTGTGCTCCCTGTGCTCCGTCCCCACAAGTATATTTAAGCAAGGCCACACACACGCACACATTCCCATGTGTGATCAGCAGGGTAGACGACCTGCTGCTGAGAATCACTGATTCTTTCTGAACATCAAATATCTGCGTATTGGTCCAGAATCATGTTTGTTTTATAAATTTATAAACATTTGTCAAATGAATTGAGTTCCTCAGAGGATCTCAACCTGAGCCTGGTTCTGTTCTGATATTGAATCCATTCCTGGTCTGGGAGAACTTGCACAAGCAATTCTGAGGTTTCAAAACCAGACGGCGCCCTCGCCATTGCTGTGCACTGAAATTCTGTCCATGAAAATCACAGAATTGGTGACAGTGGGCAAATGGAGCACAACATCCCCGGAAATGTATTTGACTTCCTGCCTGGAATACAGATCCCGCTTTCACTCCAGATATCCAAGGACTGGATGTCTCATAGGGATGACCCCCAACACTGACTCACAGTCGCATCGAAGTGACTTGCTCATTCTACAGGAAAAACTCCAGCACAGTGATGCGAAGGACAAATATAACAAAGAGCTAAATCCCACTGTTTAACTGGGACCGGTTCTGCATTAAATTGGGACCAGTTACAGTGTTAAACCGGGATACAGTGGGGTGTACTGTAGTAGTGTGGACAGCTGAACCAGTTTATCTGTAGGTGTCTTGAGTTGTGAATCACCTGATAAACAATGTGTTTTGTAACAGGAACATCCTCCAACATGTGGAAACAGGTGCAGTGTGAGATGAAGACTGATCTGACCTCTGACCTCTTGTTCACTGACTATAAATATGAACTAAAGACATGGAGTTCATGTGTTTGTGCAGCTCAGAGGTGGACATTGTGACTGTGCGGACACTGGTTTGATCCCTGGACCAGTAGGATACATCTGAGGACAGGAAAAGCTTTGTCATTACCACCACTGTGGTGCCCTTGAGCAAGGCACTGATTACTGTGCAGATTCAAGTGTGACTATGGAGCTGCGAGAACTGTCAGTGAACTTTAATTTAGAACAAGATAGAAGAGGTTGACGGTGTGATTCTTCACAGACAACTCCTTCCTCTTATGTGATCACGCGGTTTTATCTATCACTGTGACTGGTTGTCTGCTGAGAATTAATCCCATCAGTCTGCTGCACTCTGCTGCTTTTTGTTTTTTTAATTTCTGTTTTCTATAACTTGATTTGTTTCTTCTTGTCTTCTCCATTTTCTTTTAAACCCCCCCATCATCCCCAGAGGTGTCTCTTCATTCTTCTTCTGCTGGTATGAACGTTCGAGGTTCTACTTCTTCTGTTCAGTCTATCCTTCAGTCGTACAGCAGCTCACTGAGGAAACCGCGAGGCCTCGGACGCAGCCTGAGCTCCTACCTGAACCATACCAACAGACTGGGTACTAATACTGTAAATGCATATATACAAATACTACACTACCTGCACCGTACAATCAGACTGGGTAGTTATACAGCAAATGCATGTTATTTTTTTTTAAATATTAACTCAAAAGGAGACACCAAAGCCTGACATTACTTTTACTGTTAACAAATGATGCGAAATGTCCAGATATCATTGTAACAATGATACCGGAGTACTTTTCTTCCTTTCTGAATAAAAGCATGCTGCTCTGTTTCCCGCTCTGTTTTCCCGCCCCAACGTTCTTGAACGCTGAAAAGGTAGGCCCCCTTTCCCCAACCAGGGACTTTTACAACCATGTACCTGAACTAAATTTAGACTCTAGCTAGGATTGGGTTCTGTAGGATATGGTTCGTATTACCATTGCTAACTCTGAGAGACGAGGCAGTCCAAGTAACTTCAAAACAGTGCTGATTTATTCAAAGGATCACAGGTAAAATTAACATTACACGCTCAAGTATCTTGCATCTCCAAACTGCACGCAGGCAGATGTAAGATGAAAGACCCTGAACCCACCAGGCCTATACATTATATCCCCTCGGTTGGGCTAGCCCCATACTACACAGAAACGTCAACCGAGACGTCTCTGTTACCAGCTTTGCAGCTGGTCATAGCAGTAGTCAAAACATGAAGCAAATCAATGTGTGTGTGT